ATTTTTTTCAACTATGTTCATTAGGGAGACTCACCTACAGCTCTCTTTTTTGGCTGGATCTTTCTTTGGTTTAGCATCAGGATAATGATTGCTTCCAGATATGAATCTGGGAGTATTGCTTCCCTTTCAATTTCATTAAAGAGTTTCAGAAGTAGCAGTATTAGCTCTTCCCTAAATTTCTTGTAGAAATCAGCAGTGAACCTGTCAGGGCCTGGGTTCTTCTTTGTTGGTAGGTTTTTAATTACATTTTCAGTTTCACTGACTGATACTGGTTTATTTAGAATTTTTATATCTTCTTGATTCAGCTTCGGTAATTGTATATACCTAGAAATCTATTTCTTCTACACTTTCTGTCTTATTAGAATATAGGTTCTTGAAGTAGGTATTGATCTTCTGGATTTCTTTAGGATCTGTTTGATTTTACCCTTTCCATTCCTAGTTGCATGGGTTTCAGTCTGTTGTTTTTTAGGTAAGGTTGGGTAAGGGTATGTCAATTTTATTTAACCTTTCAAATAACCAACTCTTTGATTCATTAATGCTTTGTATTGTTTTCTTAGTCTCAACTGTATTAATTTCTACTCTGATCTTTATAATTTTCTCCCTCATACAAGCTTTGGGCTTGACTTACTATTATTTTTTCTAGAAGCTTGAGGTTCAACATTAGGTTGTTTATTTGAGTTTGCAATGCTTTCCTGATATGGAAATTCACTGCTATAAATTTCCCTTATAGGACTGCTTTCATTGTGTCCCATAAGTCCTGCTATCCTGTATTGTAATTGTAATCGTAGAAACTGTCTAATTTTTTTCTTTAATCTGTGACCTATTGGTTGTTCAGGAGGGTGTTATTTAATTTCCATACATTTATGGAATTCTATACTTTCTTTAGCCATTGATTTCCAATTTCATTGCACTATGGTCTGATAATACGCATGGGACAATTTTAATTCCTTTGCATTTACTTATGCATGTTCTATGAGCAAGAATATGGTTTGTCTTAGAGAATGTCCATGCACAGCTGAGAAGTACGTGTATTCTGATGTTGTGGGGTGGAACACTCTGTATACATATGCTAAGTCCATTTGTTCAAAAGTTTGGTTCAGTTCTGATGTTTCTTTGCTGATTTTTTGTCTATTTATTTGTGACAGTGGCATATTGAGGTCCCGCATTACAACTGTATTAGTGCTTATTTGATTTTTCATATCCATTAATATTTGTTTTATATAGTTGGGTATGCTGGTATTCGGTGCATATATATTTGTGGCTGTTATCTCTTCCTCTTGGATGGTTCCCTTTATAAGAATGTAGTGACCTTCTTTGTTCCTCTTAATCAGTCTTGGCTTGAAATCTACTTTGTCTGCAAACAGACTAGTTACCCATGATTTTTTCTGGGTTCCTGTTGCATGGAGTATTGTTTTCTGTCCTTTGACTTTCAGTCTATACATTTCTTTTTGAAGTAAGTGTGTTTCTTAAATGCAGTATATTGTTGGATCTTGCTTCTTGATCCATTCTGCCAGTCTGTTTTTTTCTGGAGGGGGGGTGGGTACTGGGAATCAAACTCAGGACCTTGTGCTTGCCAGGCAGGCACTTGTGCCACCGAGCTATATCCCCAGCTCCAGTCTGTTTCTTCTGATTGGTGGATTGAGATCATTTACATTGATGGTTACAACTAATACGCACTGACTTATCCTTGGCACATTATTTTCCTGTTTTTTTTTTGTTTTTTGTTTTTTTTTTTTTTTGGTTTTCCTCCGGTACCAGGAACCGAACTCACGACCTTGCGCTTGCCAGGCAGGCGCTTTTGCCGCTGAGCTAAATCCCTAGCCCCTATTTTCCTGTTGTTGGTTCCCTCCTTTTTCCTGTTTAACTGCTTGCCTTGTCTGGTGGATTCATTCTGTTGGGGTCCATGGACTTGTAGTCCTTGTTATCTTTTTCTAGAGTGTCCTTCAGAACATTCTGGAGGGCTGGTTTGGGAGTTAAGAATTTCCTCAGGTGTTCTGTGTCATGGAAGTATCTTATTCTCTATCAATTTTGAATGATAACTTTTCAGGGTACATCAATATGGGTTGGAGTTTGTTTTCTTTTGGGGTGTGAGATACTTCAAGCTCTCCTTGAGGGTTTGTGTTGAGAAGTTTGCTGTGTCTCTGATAAGCTTTCCTTTGTAGACTTTCTTTTCTCTAAAAGCTTTTACTATTCTTGTGTTGAATTTCTGGACTTTTGACTATTATATACCTTGGTGCAGATGTTTTTGATCATGGCTAATTGGAATTCTATGTACCTCACATGACTGTATGTCAAATCCTTTTTCCATGCTTGGGAAATTTATTGCCATTACTTCTCTAAAGAGTTTTTTCTTATGTCACTTGCACTATCTCCTGCTTTTTCCTTGACTCTAATCAACTTATGTTATTCTTCTTTGCATCATCTAGCTGGTTTTTTTTTGTGGTTTCTTGCTATTTTTAAGAAATCTTTCAAGATCACTAACCACAACCCAGTGTTCTATATCTGGTATTCTGCCCTCACATTGACTCATTCCGGTGCATATACTTTCAATGGAATTTTTAATCTCCTGGATTTCTGTGTGAATCTGTTGCATGGATGCCATTTCTTTTCTATGTTGAGCATTCGTCATTTCCATCATATTCCTAAACTCCCCTATTTTTAAAAAATCTGTGTCTGGTCTAGAGTCACTCACAATGTCTGTCATAATGGTCACCATCTCTGTAGTTATCTGAGAAGTAATTCTGATTTGATTTTTTCTCAAGTCTCATTTATATACTTTGTTACTTCTGCTGTTACCACTTTGGAGAGTCCAGGTAGGTGTCTTTCAAGTTGTTCTACCTCATTGCTTCTTGGGTTTGTCTTTGGTGAGCTGGAAGTCTGGGGCTGCCTCTTGCTTGAGTGTCTTCTCATTTTTTACTTTTTAAAAAAGTTTAATTCCTGGGTTGATGCTTGTAAATTGCTATGGCAGATAGCTTTATTGCTAGTATTTGGAACCCCTAAGAAATAACTACTTCTTAGAGGTGTCTTTTAGTTAGCTTTTGGGTTTTAAGTCTGTTGCAAGATCCTACTTCTTCAATTTACTGGGAATGAGAAGTTGCTGCCTGTTTGGCTTAGGCTCTGGTTCTTTGGCACTGTCCTATAATATTGTTTATGACCCTTAGGCAATCTCAGTTTTGGCATATCAGGAAGAACAACTGCTTAGAACAATTACACCACCTTGGCTGAAGCGGTAAAATCAGCAATAACAATGGCATCAAACACAGCCTAGAGAATGACAAACTATGGTTCATTTGCCACCTTTAACTGTATGAAATAGATTTGTGGTTATATAACAACATCTAAAGCAAATCAGAAAATATAAATATGCCATCAGTATGGTGATTTTACCTTCAGGGGACAAAGTTTAAAATGAATTAGGAGGAAAAAATAGAGAAATAGAAGAGGAAGAGATTAGAAGGCTGGAGGACAAAAGATTACACAAACTGTGGGAAATTGGTGAAGACGACAGGAGGGAAAGAGAAGAAATAAAAACAACAACAGAATAATAACAAAACCCCCTAAAAACCACGTTCACACATATAAAAATAAGAGCAATTTAAAAAAAAGAGAAAAAAGGGGAAAAGAAGAGAAAAAAATGTCCAGTTCAGGGGGTTCTCTGCCATCACTGGTAGACAGAGCGGACCGAGTCCAGATCTGAGTTGATTAATCCCAGCAAGCCAGCCGTAGCTTTACTTCTGGGTAGTGGATAATCCCAGCAAGCCTGAAGCTTTAGTTCCACTGCAGCTCAGGCTGAACCCCATTTGTTCAGCCTGCGACACTGTGCGCCTCCCTTCGGCTTGAAGTCGGCTCCACCGCACCCTGACGCTGGGAGCTGCTGGATGGAGCTGGCCCGAAGCTGCTCTGAGTTCCGAGCTCAGCTGGCCCCTCTCCAACACGGCTCCCGGCCAGTCGCCCTCTCCTGGGGGACATCTGAACCCAGATGACTCACCAGCCACTGGAGTCTGCTCCGTTCCACTGGTGCACTTCCACGTGGAGGCCTCTGGGGTCACATGCGTCTGCAGGTTCAAGCCGCCCCTCCCAAGCAGTAAGCCACGGCCCACAGAGAAGGCACCGCCTGCCACCTCCGTCTTGTGCACTGAGGCCTCTCTGACCTCCCCATTGGCTTCAGTTCTCACTTTAGATCCCTGGCGGGTCTTGGGGACCCACTTCCCTTCTTCTTTTCTTCCTCATGCTGCTATATTCATTCCAGTGTCTGGACATAAAATCTCAGAGAGGCTGTTTTTCTGCTGTTCACCACTCCACCACCTTCCCAGGTGTCCTCACCCTTTTTATTTTGAGATAGGGTTCTGCTCAGTTGCTCAGGCTGTCCTTGAATTTGCAATCCTCCTGCCTCAGCCTCCCAAGTAGCTGGGATTGCAGGTGTGTGCACCACTGCGCCTGGCCCCAGTCACCCTCTTTTCCCTCCAGTTTCCTAATGAGTGACATGGGGACAATGAGTCTCTACCCACAGGAGGCCAGGACTGCTGTCCCAGTCCCAGTTGGCCTCTCTGGTACACAGACCCCCTAGATCAGCTCTAAAGACAGCAGCCAGTGCCTATGGTGAGGGGGACACTCGCCCACACAGGGACTGCTCCATAGTGCCTCCCTCGGCAGTCAGGGCCCGTAGCTTGTAGGGGAGGAGGTGGTCTGCCTCAGTCCCCTCCCCCAGCCCTTGGTGCCCCACAATGCCTACAGCTCACCCAGACAGACTCCAACCTGAGAGCCAGGCCCTGGGCTCCTCTCTGTAAGATGTCCCATGTGCAGAAGGGCACCAGGGGACACTTGGAGTTCTCACCAACCTGACTTCCCATCAGGATGTCACAACCGAGACCAGGATAGCTGGAGGGTACCCCCTGTGGTGGTGTTAGGGGCTGAGGGTGCCCTGTGCACCACCTTGAGGACGCTGACTGCCAAGCCAGAGCTCCCTCAAATGCTCCTCACACAGGGGGGGGGGCAGGCACCTCGTATGTGGAGCCATCAGCACAGTGTAGCACCCCATGTCCCTGGCGCCGGTCCCGGATCCAGTCCCCTTCGTACTTGTCACCGTTCCTGAGGGGCACAGCAGGGAGGTCTCAGGTGGGAGCCAGGTGGTGCTGTGACTCAGACCAGCTCCTCCAACCAGGCTCAGCACCCGTCTCAGGGACTGAGGCAAAAATAGGCTCTGAGCAGATGGCCTGTGAGCGGGTGCCTTGCCAGGGCGCAGGGAGGGCGGGGACAGGCAGATTGCGTCTGCCCACCTGGGCCCTCAGCGGCGGCCCTTGGAACAGAAAGGATGGAGGCAGAGGAGCAGGGCTGGGGAGAAGCTGCACAGGGACCTGAACACAGCTTAGCGCAGGCAGCCCTGCCTGGAGGGGCCGTGTTGGTAGAGGGGTCTTCGGTCCCCCTTCCTGCTGGCCTTCCCTCCAGATACCTTAACTGGGGCAGGTGACTTTTTCTACTGACCAATCAATGTCAGCAACAGGAGTCCAGGGTGGCTCAGCAATGGAGGACTTGCCTGGCATGTGCCGGCACGGGTTCCATCCCACAGGGCAAAGGTTGAAGTGTGGACTGCTGGACTTCGACAGAGCCGCCCTTCCCCCAGGGCACCCCAGGATTCAACCACATACTCACTCAAAGAGCATCCGGCCCCAGCCGTGCTTCTTGTTGTCATGGAAGGAGCCCTCATATACCTGTCCGTCTGGGTCCACCAGGACCCCCTGCCCTAGGGGAGCCAAAGACACCAGCGTAACTTCACATCCCCTGCTAGTGGTGCCCCCACTGCCCTGCCCCAGGAAGGACTCCGCTTGCAGCCCTTGGACAGCCCCACCCAGCAGAGGGACTGCAGGGGGGCAATGAGTCTGGGGCAGGAGGAGGCCCAGGACCCCCGTGGGAGCTGCGCTGCTCCTCCAGCACTGCCTTGGCAGTAGCGGCAAGTGCAACCAGGACGGTGATGATGGCCACCGCCTTGGTCAGCCTGGGGGCAGATGCCAGCAGCTCAGGCTAGCTTGAAAAGGCTCTGAGCAGGGGCCTCCTCCAGAGCCCCTGAACCAACCTCTGAGATGGAGAATGCTCTGCCATCCGGGCGACCACAGAGGGAGCGCTGAGGTTGGCTGCTAAGTGACCACTTATTTATGAAAAACCCCACTTACTGCGAGCTGCCCACTTGCCTCGCTAGACCCAGAGGCCACAGGGAAGCCACGAGAGCGTGACCCAGTTAGGTGTGAACCCCTAGGTGGAAGGCGGCTCACCACGCAGCAGAGCACTGTGGATTGTCAAGTGTCATGGGACACATGGCAGGATGGAGCTCCCAAGGTGCAGGGCCCGGGACTGAGGGGCAGGTGCGTGGTCTGCGGACAGCGAGGGTGAGCCCCTCTCTCACCACCTCCCTTTCCAACCTCTGAAGCCCAGCAGTGGGTAGCAGTTCCTAGATGCGAGGACACCCCGCTCCCCCACGCTGGCACCTGCCCATGAGCCCTGTGGATGTCAGACCTTCCCTGAGGCCGTGGCAGAGCTCCCCTTTGTAACAGCCCCCAGCTCCATACGTCATGACGCCATGTCCTTGAGGCTCTCCCAAAACAAACTGTCCAGCGTAGATGTTTCCTGGGTGCAGATGAGGAGGGGGTCAGTGGTGTGTCCAGTGTCTCCACCATCCTTACCAATGGCTGTCTGTCTCTAGGTCACTCACCGGGTGGTCAGTGGAGGAGGAACACCATGATATGGCTTGTTCCTCCCTGCCCAGTGAGGACTGCAGACTCTCCTAGGTGACCCTTCCTGTGGGCACCTGGGGGACATGGTGTGGGGTGGCCTCATCCCCAGGCCTTCTATATGTGTGATACCAGGGATGTAGCTCAGGGTCTCACATATACTGGGCAGACTGCTCTGCTACTGAGCTATGTCATCAGTCCCATTCTATTTTTTTGAGACAGGGTCTCACAAACTTGGCCAGGCTGCCTTGGAGCTTGTCAACCTCTGCCTTAGCCCCCTGAGGAGCTGGAATTACAGGTGGGAGCCACCATGCTTGGCTTCCCTGGGCTTTCAAAAGGCAACTGGAAGTCGAACGCAAGAAACGCTCCCATGAGCGTGGACCACATACTGCCTGTGAGGGTCTGAGGCTCTGGGTGATGCCCTGGCCACGGGCACGGGAGCTGTAGAGCAGGTTTCCCAGCTGGGCTTAGAATGTGAAGTATCTTTAACAAAGAAGGAAAGCGCCAAGTTTAGGATGATAGCGCTGTATTCCACAGAAGTGTCACGGAGAAGCTGAAGGCACTTGCAGAGGTGAATGCAGAGCCCCATCTAGGGGTCCCCAGGTAGCCCCTGGCCAGGCATAAAGGCCATTCAAGCTGTGGGGCCCACCTCACGTGCCCCAGCCTATGCACTGCTGTCCCCTTGTGTTAGGGGAACCTGAAGGCCATTTACACACAGCAGCTTCTGTGTCAGAGCTGGGGACTGGCCTCCCTGAGAGGGCTGTGAGAGGGGTCAGGAGCCCGTCCACCACCTCCAGCGCTGACCTGACCAGGCCCAGTGCCGGCAGCCTTGCCCTGTGATCTCTCCATCCACGAATTCACCTTCGTAGTAACTCCCATCCTTAAACACCAGCTTCCCGTGACCTGGGAAGAGAAGTCATCGTGTGAGGTAAAGTCAGATGGTGAGCGGGAGTGGCAGCTCACGAGCCCACAGCCACTGAGCTCTCTCAAAGACTTTGGCTGCCAAGCCCACAGTTTTCACGTAGGCTCCACTGCCTGTCCTATATGTGTTCTTCACAAACTCACCTACGTACTCCATATTTACCTAAAGACCTCTCAGAAGAGCTGTGAGATATCCCGAGCACCCCCTTTCTCTGCTAGAATGGCCACCGAGGCGGCCACAGTGGAGGTGAGATCTTGCTGCCCACGTCCTCAGAGGGACGCGGACACAGCCCTGCCCACTTGAATGCAGGCAAGGGTGTTGGGGGAGACAGTCTGAAAAGCAGGTGGCCCTCAAGGAGCTTCTGATCATAGCCTTGCACACGAGCCTAAACACTCGCCAGGAGGAAGAGAAGCCTTGATGTTTGCACAAAAATCAAAAGTGCGGGGAGAACTAATTAGAAGACAACAGGCGGCGCAGCAAACACCGGGGGCCAACAGGTAAAAGGCCAGTCTTCCAGGAAAAACGGGAACACACGGAGCAGGCAGAACCCACCGACAGAAAGGTGGATCCTAGGAAGCCCGGACACCAAAAGGTTCTCAACGCCCTCCTGGCCCGTGTGCCGGGGTGGGGTGCTGAGAGTTGGGACAGTGCCCTGGAGCTGCGTGCCTGGAGATGAGGCCCGGTGTGTGTTCCTGTGAGTTGAGGGGATTCCAGGGGACTTTGCTTTAACTTCTTTTCTTCTATTGGTTGGTTTTCTACAGAAGTAGGTCATTTCTTTTAATCAGAAACAAAGCATAAAGCCAATTTTCACTCTGGGAAAGAGGAACAAACTAAAACTCTAGGGAGGGTTTCCAAGCTGCGGCTTCCTCTGCTGCGGGTGCCCCCAGGTGGTGGAATGTGGCATGCAGGGTAGGAGTGTGTCTCCCTGGGTCTGCTGTCCCTGCCCAGCTCTCCCGGCCCTGCCAGCCTCTGAGGAACATTAGGTGCAGTGACCTCAAAAGCTCTGGGAAATGGCCTCATGGTAGCACCAGCCCAAACCCAGAGCAGGCTGGTAGCATTGTGTGGGCACAGCGCTGGGTCATGCTTGGTGCAGCCCCCTCCCCAGCTCCCAGAAAAAATTAGCTCTGTCAGCTTCCTGGTGGCCCCTGCTAGGAGAGACCACCAAGGTTTCTTACCATGTTTCTTTCCTCCCTTCCATTCTCCTTCATATTGGAAGAAGGAATTTGGGTATATGTAGACACCATAACCTGAGTTTGAAAAGAAAAGGAAGACAGTGACCCCTTGACACTGTGACTTGGCTGACATCAGTGGAGGTGGGCTTGGGACTGTCTCTGCACCACTCTAACTGCCCCAGAGCTGCAAGGGGAGTAGGCGCTGTCCTGTTGCTGCCAATCTATCCGTTGGTTGGGTGGCTTCTGAGACTTGGATGACACCTACCGGCGTAGGAGGACAAGGGTCGCAGGACGCAGGCGGTTGGGGGGAAATGGCCTGGGAGCAGCAGTGGAGGCAGCGATTGCTACGGGTGCAGGGGGAGATCATGATCCCGCCAGACCTGACGGCACAGGCGTGGGCTTTGGGTTCATCCCAGCCTTGTTTCTCGGGTTTCAGGGTCAATTTCTTCCCGACTGGCTCGCTGGACCTCCACTCCCTAGGGGTAGATCTGGGGCAGGACCCAGGACTTCCCGCGCAGCCCGCGCAGGGCAGGCCAGCTGCGAGCCTGCCTCCTCACCACCCACCCCCGCAGCACGCCGACGCAGCCCAGCCCGGGAAGCTGGCGGTGGGCTCGGGGCCGGGCTTCCCACGCACGCAATCCGTACCGTTCCGCGGCGGCCGTCTTGGCGACTCCCAGCGCCGCTGGAGAGAGTCCCGGTTCCCCCGACCGGCTGCCGCCATCTTGCCGCCTGGCGTTCCCTAGCAACCAGACACGCCCCCTACCTTTGGCCTTCGGTAGGTAGGGAGCGTGGGCAGGCCCAATCTCGGAGAACCGCAATCTCTGGAACGGAGTCCTCAGGCCCGGAGCCCGCGGGAGATACTGCGCCTGTGCAGCGCCGCGCATTTCCGTGGGCCCGCCCCTTCCGCTGGGAGGACGGTCCGCCAACGGCTGCGGCGTCCTCAACGGAAGCGGAAATGGTTGGAGCTCTGGGTCCCGCCTTACGGCCATCTTGGAGGTCGGAGGCGGTGCCGCTGGATAGAGCGGAAGTTCCCGTGCAGCTTCCCGGAGCCCAAGCCGAACGCTGGCGGTCGCCCTGCCCGCCGCCACTCTTCTGCGGCCGTGAGGGAGACCGCGGCTCGGCCGCAGCGGAGCTGCGAGGTGCCGGGGGCAGGGTTGGGGCGCGGAGTCGGCCGGACGGTGTCGCCCCCGCCTCCCTCCGGCTGTCAAGGCCGCGGGCGGGCGGGCAGATCCGCCAGGCCGGGGAGGCCGACGGGGTGGGGGGGATGTGGAGAGGGTCAGTAGGGCCACGAGGGGACTGCTGGGTCCCCGGAAGGGACACGGGGCCCGGATCGGACGGCCGAGCTGCGGGCGGGGACACGGGCAGCACTGAGGAAGGCCGAGTCCCGGCACGGGACGGAGGGGCCGCGGTGGCTACAGCCGAGCCCCGGGAGGGGACGGCACGGGCCGCGAAGGGGACAGACCGACCCTCGGGAGTGGGTGGGCGGTACGCCGCGCTGGGGACGGCCGGCCCTGGAGACCCGTGGCCCTGCCACCGGCTGCTTCTCACCTCCCCGGCCGGGGACGGTGGCCGGCGCTGCCCGCCAGGCTCGAGAGTGGTGGCGCGTCCGTGTGGGGTTTCTTGTTGCAGCCCATTACACTTTTGGGGCTCATCCGCAGGGTTTAGCATTAAGCCTGAGGACGGGGAGTAGCTACTTGCCTCAAGATTATGCGGTGGTAATACTCCAAATTAAGGCAGTAAAGTCACTTCGCTGGGCTCACTTTTTATTGTTGGCTTCCTAGCCAGGGTGTCTTAGGGCCCAAAGAGCTGCTTCGCCGTCACCCGGAGAAACTTCAGTGGCCTTTTGCCTTCAGATGGAGTTGTCCTGCAGCCCTGTGTCCTTAGCTGGGGCGATTTCCACCTTGTGAAAAGATAGAAGCTCCTGTGAATGAAAGCCTGGTCCTCAGTGCTTGAGGCTTGGCCCGTGGGGTCCTGATGTGTGCTTGGGTGACGGTAGTATGGGTACAGTGTGCAAAGGCCAAGTGGGGATCTTCAGCCGTCACTCGCATCAGAAGGAGGAACCCAGGGTGGAGCCTGGCCTTGGAGGACCCGAGGTAGGACCTGCTGGGCATTTCAGGGAGGGACCAGCCCTGAGAACATGTGTGGTGCACAGACCAGGGACCTCCTCTGTGCTGGTTTCTTGTTTGGGACTGATGCTTACAGAAGCAACGAGTGAGCTCTAGGACAAGACACAGAGAAGTTTCTGTACAATTTCTGGCCTGGTACTCGCTCTGTCTGCCTGGAGTGGTTTTATCTTGCTTGCAGTTACATTCAACAGATACCTGATCAACTGCCTGCCTGCTCTGGTAGCTCACTTGAAGATGATAAGTCCCAGCTGGGAGCCAGACAAGCCCCAAGTCCCCCTTCCCCCAAGGAGCTTGCATTCTAGTAGAAGGAATTGAGAAGAAATACAGGAAAGTATCAGAAAGTGATGGTTACACAAAGTAAAAGCAGGGTGATGTGATAGTGGGACTGGTGTCAGTTTGGACAGGAATGGAGAGCTTCGCTGAGGAGGTGGCCTTTACAGAGAACAGAGGGAAGAGGTTTGGAGGTAGAACAGCTGGTGAGAGGGCTGCCCTAATGCAGAACAAGTCAAAAGTGCTTAAGGGGCTGGCATACACACAAAACCAGAGGAGTATTCAACATGGGTCAAACTATATCAATCAGTAAGATTACGAGTACAGCCGCTTAGCAATATTGACCCAATAGGAAGCAGGTCAGATGCACCTCCAGCCTCAGTTCTGTTGTGTTTATTTTTTTGTTGACTTCCTCAGGAGCCCAGCCCTTCTTAAACCATACATTAATTTCTAACTTAGGTGCCTGTGATACTGTGCCAGGCTCTGCAGGCTCACCACAGGCTGCCACTCTCTCTTCAGAAGAGCTCTGAAGAAGGCACTGATGTGTAGTTGTCCCCTTTCCCAGATCAGAGCCCCATTGTTCCATTCCAGACCTGTTACAGAGCATGCTCATCTCAGACTGGTAGAAATTGTAGAACCAGTATCTAAAGCAAGTGATTGGACTCCAAAGTTCGCTTTCTATCTTTTTCCTTTTTTTTTTGTCTTTTTGAGGGTCTTGCTATGTATATTAGGCTGGCCTTGAACTCACTTTGTAGCCCAGGCTGGCCTCGAACTTGCAATGATCCTCCTGCCTCAGCCTCCTGAGTGCTGGGATTACAGGTGTATGCCACAGTGCCCAGCTAAAGTTCGCTTTCCTAATCATGCTTCAATACCTGTTATGTTATTGGTCCTGAGTTCAACCCAGACGTGGAGCCGTGTCTTCATGTGGATACCAGGGAAGTGGAATGTGGCTAGTGTACTCTTGGTGGGTTTCCCGGAGAGTTTTAACAGCATAGCTTAAAGCATATACTTTAGTGGGACAGCCAAGTATTTTCTTTTTGATACTGCTTTTGTCATCTCAATTCAAGCGAAAGTGTTTTAGTGATAAACACTTTGGTCACAGTAAAAAGTTTGCAAGCACAGTAGGAAAAAGAGCGTGACTGGAGTAGCTTCCTGCTGACCGTGCTGTGCCCTAAGTGAGGTGGCCTTTCTCAGCAGTCATTCTAGTGTAGCCTGTATTTAAATGTGGGGTTCCCCCAGTCAGCTGTAGAAGGGGTGGAGGGTCTGGAGCCACTGCCGCTGGGCTTCCAGTTCCGTTGTGTCTGGACACCGTGCTCCGGGCTGGGGAACGTGCTGTGGAGTCTGTCCACACGTCTCACTGCAGACGACATGGCCTACGGCACTGCTGAGACTGTGACATTTCACTTGTGACTGGAAGCTGATCCACTTGAGACCCAAGGCCATGTGCAGTAGCCTGCTGACTTCCCCTTTCCGGGGGAAGGGGATGCCCAGCACCAGGAAGCAGGTGTGGTACCTGCGTGAGACTGGATGTCTTTGGCCCCTCACATCTGTAAGTGGGAGGGGTGAGGCCAGCCTCCAGGCTGCTGTAAATGAAACCTGGGTCTGTATCTGCTGCTAGAGAGAGCCTGGTATTGCAGGTGAGGCTGTGGTTCATGGTACTCAGAACAGTAGACCTAAACCAGACCTGACTGGGCTCTCTGTCCTCACCACCTGTCATGGGGGCAGAAGGGGTTTGGGCACATGCCCCTGGCATCTGTCACCCCTGGCCGAGTGGCCCACAAGTGTCAAAGTAGGACTGGCACCAAAGGTCACCCTTAGTGGGCAGTGCTGTCTGCAGGGTGTGTCTTGAGTTCATGCTTGGTCGAGAGCTGGTGTTGGGCTGGGCTCTGGCCCTCCCAGGACCTCACGCTGTTTGAGACCTGTTCCCTGGAGAAGCAGGGGTGATGCTGTTTCTGCTCTTGCCATCCAGAACCAAGTGGGGCAGTGCATGACCTTTGGCACCTGGGTTCTCACAGGTGAATTCTGCCTCGGGTCAGAGAAGCGTGTGGAAATAGGAGCGGATAGGGTTACCTCCAGCAGCGAGATAAGGAACTGGGACGTGGCTAGATGGACGACCTGCACGTCGTCCTGTTGCGGAGGACCGACCAGGACAGGGTGTGGCGAAGATGGGGGCTGGCATCCCAAGAGGCACCTGGGCAGGGCGTCAGCATCACGTCTGCAGGGATCAGGGGCATTGAGGGCAGCTTCTGCTGCCATGGGGTGGCCGGTGCTGCCGGGCCATCACCTCACTTACTCCTTCCCCTCTACCAAGCCTGCTGCCTGCTTGATGAATTCATGTACAAACACGAATGGTTTGAGTAAAACCCTGAGTACTGCAGAAATTGGCTTGGTAGATCAGTCGATCAAGGTGGAAGTGTTCACAGCCTGAGTGCTCTGTTTGGAATTTGAAGGCATCTTGTGTCTCTCTCAGTTGCAGAATGTCTGAAGGGGACAGCGTTGGAGATTCTGTCCATGGGAAGCCGTCCGTGGTGTACAGATTTTTCACGCGCCTGGGACAGGTCAGTGGGTTTGAAGATGGTCCGTGTAAGTATTCAGAGGGGAAGCTGTCAGCTCCCGATGCACCTTCCCGGGGGCTGGAGTCCGCTGTGTTGCCCAAAGAGGCTGGAAGCAGCAGCTCACCGCACCTGGGGCTGTGCTCTCGGGACTCCAGCAGCTTGTGGATCTTCCCTGGGAGCCCTTCTTGGGCCCTTGACACATGCATGTTTCCCTTTGAAATGTGCTGCTGTACTCCGCCCCTCCGCCCCTCCGCCCCTGCCATGTTCCTGTCTGCAGCCCTTGCACAAGGGCTCCTGTGCCGCTGGGGGAGCCTCTCCCTGGGGACAGGCTGTGGTGGGGCCAGGGCGATGCAGCTCGCTGTGTCGGGGCTGTGTGTGGAGCTGTCCCGAAGACATTGTGTGTTTCGACACACTCAGCAAACAGTTGCAGAGACTGCTATTTGGCTTAATTAAAAACGTAGGTTTTTTAAATGTGTTCTTATTTTTAGTATTTTAGTATTTTATTTTATTTTTTTTGTGGTACTGGGGATCAAATCCAAAACCTTCACTCTGACTGACCACCTCAGCCCCCACTTCCCTTTATTTTTGGTTTTTTGAGATAGTGTTTTGCTGTGTAGTTCAGACTGGTCTTGAACTCTGGGTAACCCTCCTGCCTCAGCCTCCCAAGTTCTGCAATTAGGGGTGTGTGCCACATTTGGCTTTTTTTTTTTTCCTGTCTTTTTGAGACAGGGTCTCGCTATGTAGTTCATGCTGGCCTTGAGCTCACTTTGTAGCCCAGGCTGGTCTCGAACTCGCAACGATCCTCCTGCCTCAGCCTCCCGAGTGCTGGGATTACAGGCTTGTGCCACCATGCCTGGTGGCTTTTTTTTTTTTTTTATATCAATTTTTTAAATTGAAAAGTAATATATGCCAAACTATAATAATACTGAAGCTGGGTAATGAGTATTCACATATTTTTTAACTGAAAATTTTTATCATTTAACTTAAAGATTGTGTCACGGTTAAAATTGAAAACTTACACCTGTGTACATATATATGTGTACATATTAAAATGGTAAGGGCTCCATCACTGAACCCTTGGCTGCCAGGGTCCTCTGCACAAGGGCAGGATCCTTACTGGGCTTGAGGGGAGCACACAGAGGGCTGGGGGGCACAAGGGCATGGGTTTGGCTGGAGACGTGTCATTGCCATGGTGACTTGGAGATGCATAACCTCTCCTTTCGAACCCTCTCTTTGGGTGAAGTTGGTTTCCCCATCATGGTCCCTTTAGAGCAGTGGCCATGGAGATGGCTCCTGTGCCACACCAGGCTCTTTTCATCACTGAAAGCTCTGGAAAGTTGGCCACCACTGCTCCAGACTGATGCTGGGATACCATCTTCTCTGATGGAGTTCGTAGTGCTTTCAGTAAAGGGATGAACCTGCCTCAGGAATTACTGCAAATATATTCTGGATTATTTCCAGTCACTGCTTTGTGTCGGTATTTATCTCTTGCTGTTCTAATTAGCCCTTTTTAAAATAAAAAAAACAACAGTAACCGAAGTATATTTTCTATCAAAGCCTGCAGTGGAAGTTCCCAGGTCAGCTTCACGTTTCCCACCCCTGTCTCCTCAGATTTACCAGTCCTGGCTGGACAAGTCCACACCTTACACAGCTGTGCGGTGGGTGGTGACGCTGGGCCTGAGCTTTGTCTACATGATCAGAGTTTACCTGTTACAGGTAGGTCTGCCGTAGTGAGACTGCACCGCTGAGGCTCTGAGTGTGGTGCTGGTTGGGATGTTGCCATTGCAGTTTATTTTGAAGGAAACGATGTACAATAAACACTTTGCATTTCTCCAAGTGTAGGAAAAGTTTCAGCAAGTGTCTCTTTAAAGAGGCTTGTTTACAGTTCTTCCTAAGATTGTCATCTTCTCTAACAAAGGTTCCTAGCAGGCCCAGGCCAGTCTTGACCTCAGCCCGTGTCCTACCCAAGCGACAGGTCTCTGTCCCCGTGAGCCTGCTATGTGCCTCCCAGGGCAGAGGTCCCACCCCAGATCACGTGACGAGTCCACGAACCTCGGGTGCTGCGAGTGGTGCTGGCATTAACAGGTTCAGCTGCGTGTGCTGCGCAGAGGCTGAAGAAGCCAGTGAGGTGGTGGTGGGGTGCAGCGCTGGCACAGCCACTCAGACACCTCTAGGTCTCCAGGCCCTGCCGTGACACTACTAGGACAGGCGACATCTTCCCAGGCTGTTCATTAGACTGTGTTACTTCCTACTGACTGCTTGAGGTCCAGGGGCTCCCTGCTGGCGCGGGTGGGGGCGGGCAAGAAGCTCTGTCTGGAGTATTTGCTCCTGGGGGACGGGGAAGGTACTTGGTCACCTAAAGCTCCTGCCTCCCTGTTGGCCGTTTCCCAAGATTGAGGACCTCGGTCCACAAGCAGCACAGTTGCCGACGGGACGGCTGCGGCCTGCGTGCGAGTGCTCAGACTAAACACGAAAGCTTGGGTTTTGTTGTCTGCATCTGGTCGATTGCTCCGTGGAGACCCTGCACTGGTTCAGTGCGGAGGAGGTGGCAGCTCCGCGGCTGTTGCAGCAGGGACAGTCTGTACAGGGTGTCTGAAATTCATGTGGAAATTTCTTTTCATAAGTTGGAACTTGGTCTATTTGCTGTTGGAAAGACTGGCCCTGCAACTTCGTGTTAGGGGTGTGGCCGGGCAGGTGTGACATACAGTTTCACTCTCCTGAGCCAGGCTTGCCCTGCAGCGTGACGACACGTGTGCATTAGTTAATGTTCCACCTGAGGTTTTAGTCACCTGGCTCGAATGCTTTCAGGCTGGAAGGTTTCCTCTTGTTTGTATGAGCGAGTGCAGACTTGAGGATTGACAGTGCACTTGCGGGGTGTGGGGGGAACTGGGTTGCAGTGTCCGCCTCTCCTGAGGAATGCTTGACCCCGAGGTCCTGGCCCTCCATTCTCCTGGGCAGTCTCCTGTAGCAATGGGAGTTGTTCCTGAGGAGGACCGGCCACTGTGTCTATAGCAACAGCTGTGATTCTGCTGATGCCATGGGGAGGGCTGGCCCACGGCAGGCTGCGAGACAGGAGTGACAGCTCCTCCCCAGCCGCCCTGTGCCCAGCCTTAGGTACAGGTTTGCTTGTGATTTGGAAAGCAGCTGGCTTAGCTGATCTGGAGCCTGGGCTTCGAGTGTCTGCGTGGTTGACTGGACTCTCAGAGGAGTTCGCTGCTGAGCCCTGAGCTGTCACTGTGGTACCAAGACCCACAGAGGGACTTGAGAGGAGTGGTCACTGTGGGCTGCCTTCGTCCATTGTCATGGACGCCATTGCGCCTTACTGAGAGTGAGCGTGTGCTCTGCGGCTTGCCGGGCGTCTCGCTGTGGCCTGGAGAGCCTTGGGCTGGTGGTGGCAGGGCTGCTCACTGAGCTTGCCTCTTCCTTTCCAGGGCTGGTACATCGTGACCTACGCCCTGGGGATCTACCACCTCAACCTCTTCATAGCGTTCCTCTCCCCCAAAGTGGATCCCTCCCTGATGGAAGACTCAGGTACTGCATCCCACCCCCATGCCATGAGAGCCGTTCATCTACTTGCAGATGAAGAAGCTGAGGCACGTGGGTTCTGTGACTTGTGTAAGGTCACGTCACAGATGATAGGACGAATGGGGCTGAGATCTGTGCCTGAGCCTCTGAGTCTTGTGTCTCACAGGCAGCCCTTCGAGGCCTGTCCTGGTGGCACTCAAGGGCTACCCGCCAGACTTCTCCCAGAGGTTTGTACACACTGCCCACAGTGGCCACCATAGGCCAGGCTCCAAGTTCTTGGGAGTGGAGATGTTGGTGTTCATGTGCCATGAGCCACTGGGCCAGCCGTGACAAAAGTGAGGAGTCTCCGTCCTGGGGCTGCTCTGGCCCTGTTGCTGAGCCCTGTAGTGAGCGGTGCTGTTTCTAAAACTGTTTTCAGGGGGCTGGGGATATAGCTCAGCAGCGTAAGCGCTTGCCTTGGCAAGCCTGAGGTCATGGGAGTTCAATTCCCAGTACAAAAAAACAAACAAACAAAAAAACCTGTTTTCAAGTTAGATGAGCGGAAGCCTGGGATTTTCTCTGTAGACTGTTCAGTGGAGACACTGAGGAAAGCAGCCCCTTTCATGGGAGGCTGCTGTCTGGGGAGATGGAAGGTAACCAGGGGGCCTTTACCATGGCCTTAATTTCTCGTGCGCGAGTGCGTGTGGCTGGGTGCGCTGGGCCTCCCTTGCAGGTTGTGTGTGGGTGAGACACGGCACTGCCATGGCTGTGTGAACAGCGCTCACCTTGTTTGCTGTATGAGCCTGTACGGAGTGCAGTGGATGAGAAATCTGCAGCTGAACTTTTTTACTCAATTAAAAGGCACAAGAGACTTTTTGAAAGAAAATTAACTACATCAATTCTTGTAAAGCATTGAATTGATTTGTAAATTGGCTGCAGACCTGTTTTTTGTTTGGTTAAGGGATACAGGCCTGTGTTGCCACACGTGAGGCCTGCCAGCTCAGAAGCTTTAGGAACTTCTAGGAGTGTGGTAGAGGTGAAAAGCTGAGTCAAAAAAAAGAAAAAGCTACCAGCCGAATGCGGTTTCTCTGATGGATGCCCTGCTTTCCAGACGATGGCCCTTCGTTACCAACCAAGCAGAACGAGGAATTTCGTCCCTTCATTCGAAGGCTTCCAGAGTTCAAATTTTGGTGAGCTAATTCATTTTTTCTTCTATTAAACTTTTAAAAATGTGTTTAATTTTTACTTGACGCCTAGTAAGCGTGCGTGTTCATGGTACGCAGCGTGACATTCTGCCCACGTGCACAGTGTGTCTGGCACCACACTTGTTTCTCGGTACCGGGAGCGTCAGAAGTTGCTGTGCCCATTTGACCGCACCTTTCATTTTTAAAGGTATTGGCGGGAGGTACCTGTGCTCAGGTGTGGCCAAGGAGACCCTGAGAACAGATTAATTTTTGTTCTAGTCAGCAAGCAATTTAAACTCGCTAAACAAGGATTTTGGTTGTGCTTCACTTTCCTGTGGTGTCCATTCACCCAGAGGACACTGGACTGGGCTGGGGTGCGCCAAAGGGCTTGGGGAGACCCCCCTTGAGGTCTTCTCTGAGCCTTGGGTTAGCGCCAGGCATTGGGCTTTGGGGAAGGAGCTGCCAGCCTCTTGCAGACGGAGGTGTCAGGAAGGCAGGTCCAGGCCGCCTCTGTGGCCAGCAGAGGTGGACCAGCTTTCTGCCCGGGCCCGCGGGGCGCAGGTCCTGAGCAGAGGTGTATGGGGTCTGGGCAGGGCTGGCCTTGGGGGCTTTGGTCTCCCTGTAGGTGGTAGGAGCAGAGTGAGAACAGTGGGGACAGCTCCTCAGCGCCCGTCAGGCCAGGGGCTCTGCACTGTGGCTGTGTCTGTCTCTGGGACGCCCGCTGGGCACAGGAGGAGCAGAGTCTTGGCCGAGTTCATGAGCTGAGCAGACCAGGTTCCTGCAGCTTCTGTTCTGCAGCGCTGGCAGCAGGAGACGGTGCTGGATGCGGGGGCAGGGTTCTGTTGGAAATGGGGACCTCGGGGTTCAGTTTGAGGGCGATGTCCAGGTCAGAAGCCAACTGAGACCCATGATGGTTGGTGCACACACTGGCTTCAGCATGGGTGTCCCTACTTCGTGTAGGTTACAGGTGACTTAGCTCTCAGGGGACTCAGAGAAGCATAGCGTTGCGGTGAACCCAAGTGTGTTTGTGTGAAACACAGACCCCATGCTGCTCCCCAGTGGGGGTGCGGCTCCTGTGGATGCGTATTTATGAGCAAAGATAGGAACGGCTGGGGCCCAGAAGGTGGTCAGCAGGAGCCTGGTGCCACCTGAAGGCGGTGGTGCTAACTTCTGCCCTTGCTTGAAGGCATGCAGCGACGAAGGGCATCCTTGTGGCGATGGTCTGCACCTTCTTCGAGGCTTTCAACGTGCCAGTGTTCTGGCCGATCCTGGTGATGTACTTCATCATGCTTTTCTGTATCACAATGAAGAGGCAAATAAAGGTAAAGACCAGAGGCCGCTGCCACCTGGGTGACAGTCACTGCCCCGCTGCTGCAGTGGCCCTGGGCAAGGGGTGCCTGGCGTGGGGACAGGCAGCGGGAGCAGGGCCGTGCGGCTGGCGAGTGCATAGTGCGTGTGCACGTGGGGAGCCACAGGGCTCGGGCACTGGAGGGAGGTGGGGAGGCCGCCCTGGGCCGCAGTGTCCAGTGCCCTTCCTGCTTGAGCTTGGCCTGTTGCATGTGCTGAGAAGGAGCAGGGATGTCCACTAAGAGCTTGGCCAGGACTGCGGAGTGCAGCTGTGCACCCTCTCTTGGGGCCTGGCCTCGGCCCTCCCGGCCACACCTGCATGACACTTCCTGGGATCCCTGGGCTTAGCAGATCAGAGGGCTGCTGTTTTAAGAAGGAGCTAGGAAGCACGTCACGCATTGGCATCCTTTTTCTTCTTGTTCGTTTTGAGACAGTCTTACTGTGTAGTCTAGGCTGGCCTAGAATGCACAGTGATCCTCCTGCTTCAGCCTCCCCAGTGCTGGGGTTACAGGTGTGACCACCACGCCCAGCTCAGACCTATCAGTACCCTGATGTTGGTTGTGATAGTGGAAGAGATGAAGGCGTACCTTTGGCTGTTCACATTGAGGGGAAATGTGGAAGTAACTGGCGTCTGTTCTGTTTGTTTCCCCAGCACATGATTAAATACCGGTACATACCATTCACACACGGGAAGAGGAGATACAAAGGGAAGGAGGACGTGGGCAAGACGTTTGCTAGTTAGAAGCTGGACTGAGTCACTCACGTGGTCAAGACCGGTTTTGAGCCATTGTAACAATGCCTTTTTCTTCACATAAAGTAGTTGATTATGAGGGAGTCGAATTTTCTTTTTAAAAAGAAGCCTCAATGATTTGTAACTGAAGTATCAGGTTCTTGAAGAAACTGGCATTTAAACCAAATTGAGATTTCCTCTTCAGCGATGTTCACGTTTCCCAGTGTATGGAATTGTAGTAAACTGTGGGCTTGGGGCCGGGGCGACGGGGGAGGGAGGGTGGGCAGGAGCCAGGCCGCCTTCCTGCTACCCCCGCCCCGCCTGTGGGCCCGAGCCAGCCCAGCTGGTGTGGGAGAGGGGCGAGGCTGTGAAGGCCGAGCTCAGGGCCTGCGTCCTCACACCAGTTTCCACACTTCATCTCACTGGAGATGGCTCATGTTGGCCTCACTCAAAGATGACTTTGTTCTTAACTACCCTGCTTCTGAGGGCCTGGAATTATAAATATATATATATTCTATTTTAATTGTTTGAGATTATTTTGACACATTTCTTTGATACCTACAGTTTGCTTTTGATTAATTTAAATTTGTGCTCATGCAGCAGCCCCTGAAAGGAAAGATCAGACCTGGTCAACATAGACCAGGCCTGCGGGTTTACCCGGCTTTTCGCTTCCTGTAGGGAAGACAGACCTACTGCATGTTAGCTTTTTTGATGTGATAAACATTTTACTAATTGACTTTTTAATTCTGACTTTATTAAAGACAATGTCCCCTTGCTTGTGTAGTCTTCATCTCAAACACGGTCACTGCCCCAAAGCCCAGCGTCTTTTGGCCTCCCTGGGAGGTGAACTGTTCGGCCAGCACAACAGCAACCCCCAGCTGTGGACATCAAGATGCAGCCTGGTGTCTCCTGCAGCCTCAGCCGGTTCAGGTGCCCACTCAGGGCGATGGGACCCATTCACCAGGTAGTTCTCAGTGCTGAGTGTCTCAGTTGTCTGTCTGCATTTTCTTTTGCTGAATTTTGTACACCTGGACTTGATCTCCTTTGAGAGCCCACATTTAGGCCCTTGGTATACCGCACCATCTCATAGGATGTTCTCGGTACCTCTGGTAGCATGTGGGAGCAGAATCTGCATTTCTCAAACTCTGGACCTTTCGTTTTCCTGGCTGGTGCTCAGGCCTTAACTCTGACAGGAAATGGTGTGAATAAGAGCAGCACGAGATGGCTCATAGAGCTGTGCCCAGCTCTCTGTGGGGATCTCCTTCCTTTAGAGACTGGGAGGCCTCTGGCACCCCGAGTGTGTACCCTCCTGGCCTTGATGACGAAAGCCTTTAGACTTCGGTGGGGGGGCTATGACACAGCCCAGAGGCCCTACTTTTATAAAACCCTTCCAGGTCACTCTTCTAGGGAGTTAAGAGACTAATCTGTCTCTGACATGTTAATTTTAAAAACCTGGAAGCACTAAGCAAGGTGGGACGCAGGCTGAAGACAGCTGAGGTGGTGCTGGCCACAGCAGCAAGCTTGGGTGAGCAGGCTGCCACCCATGTGGTCCTGGCTCCCTTGCCCACCCAAGGGCGTGCTTACTGAGTTGGCTCTGCCTGCCAGCTGGAGGCCCCTCCCTGTTTAAGGCGGAGACAGCACCTATTTTCTTAAAACAGGGAGCAGAGGACATTGAACAGTGCGTGCCAAACATCTCAGAGGTGCTGAGCCCTGGCTGGTGTGTGGGTGCAGCCCAACACCCAGGCCTGGAGGCGGTCTGTCTGGGCCCGTAACCGTGCCAGCCAGGGCACTCAGCTCTGCCTCTGAACAGCCCAGTGTGAGCGTGCTCATCTCCAGCGAATAAAACTTTCTGGCTAACTTCTGCATGTGTTCTCAGCTCTGTGGCTCAGGCAAGGGCGGGGTCCTGAGCAGTGCACATCTGCCCACTGCGGGTCTCAGGGCCCCGTCCCAACACAGTTCTGAAGGCTCTGCAACAGGGCCTTGCTAGTGTCCTTTCTGTCCTCTGCCCAGGAATTTGACATAGCAGCTTGTGTGATGAAGTGTGAGCATTTTATAATTTCTGCGCAGCTAGTTAGGACAGCTTTTGTCCAGGCTTTTTCCTTCTGCCACTTCCTAAAGCCCCCCGGTGTCGCTCAGCGGTAGTGCCGCAGGTAGATAAGCTTCTGGGGAGGGAACTTCTCCCTGCAGAGGGGACACTCCATCTGTGGGGAGAGGGACGGTCACGGGCAGTCTGCCAGCTGGCCTGCACGTCCACCCACTTCTGTCTGTCACCTTCCACATGCCTTGCAGCAAATGGGCTGATTCCCAATACTCTCACTGGGAGACGGCCCTTTCCAGAGGGTCCGAGTATGTGTGTGGAAGAGGGGTCAGGTGGTGCTGCACATGTGAAGGGGCTGGCTTGGGAAGGCTGTGCCAGTGTGGCGGGGCGACCCGCTCATCTTGAAGCCTAGCAACCTCAGGAGGGGAGCCCCTCCCTGCAGGGCTTCTGGCACCTGGGCTCTGCCTTTTGTGGAATGGAAGGTGGCCAGAGCTGCTGCTCCTAGCTCCTCCCACCAGAGCCTTCCATGGAGGGCCTCAAGCTGCCTGCTGGGCCCAGAAAGGAGCACATGCTGTCCACACTCGGGCTCGAAGCTGTGCCCTGCTGTGCCACGCCCAACAGTGGGAGTGAATGCTGTGTCCTAGGCACCTGCCGCCAGGTCAGCTGGAGCCACGCAGACGCCACAGTTGCACCCACAGCCCTGGCTTCAGCAGGGAAACAGCTGGGCACCTGACTTCCCTAGACAGCAGTGGAGATGCCCACCCCGAAGCCAGGAGTGACTCGGAGGCACTGTTGCCCAGGGGTCCCTGCCTGGGCCACATACCTTAGTGTTGCACCACTCAGTGATGCACTCCCAGCAGAAGAGGTGGCCGCATGGCGTGGCCGTTGAGTGCCTGCGCTCCTCCAGGCACAGGGTGCACAGCGGGGCTCTGGACGCCACCCGGTCTTCTAGGGAGCTCCTGAGGAGGGCGAGGACACAGGTGAGGCACTGCCCACCACACTTACCATACGAGGGTGCCCCAGACTCTGCGCACCTGCGGTGAGACAGGTTGCGGTGCAGCCGCCACTCCTTGCGGGCACGCTGCCTCTGTCGGAAGCTGTAGAGCTGCAGTGCCAAGGAGAGCGCCAGGTGCAGCAGCGAGACCAGTCCCAGCAGCCGGTAGCCGGCACGCGCCTTCAGGTCCTCTCCAGGCAGGTGGCGGATGTGGAGCTGTGGAGGCAGGTGGTCCGGCAGCTATCAGGACGCTGAGGGGACCGTGCCCTCGTTCTGTCAGTGCCGGGAACACCCAAAGGACGAGACTAGGTGCGGTAGTGCGTTTGTGCAGCCCAAGGGGTCCCTAGCCAGAGGCTGACTGCTGGGTATCCTCAGATCCGAGCCATGAGGCTCAGTGGGTGAGGGTTCAGGGATCATCCAGGGCCCACCTCGCAGACAGCAGTGAACAGCAATGAGAGGAGCACGAGTGTGTGTGTGGGGTGACACTTGCCAGCCACCCTGCTGCAGGACAAGACGCTCCCCTCTTAGCAGGGCGTATAGCACCCCCATCTCACTCTCCCACAGCTGGCACCTGAGCAACTTTTGTCCACCTCTCATGGCCCTTCCCACTGGCCCCTGGAGAGGACCCGTGCCCACTCCCGGCTCAGTGGTCCTTGATGAAGGAGCTGCTCAGTGAACCCAGGGGGAGGATGGGGTCAGATACCCCAAATCTGGCCACACCCAAGCCTGACACCAGACCCGGTTCATGATGCGATGACCTGGCTGCTGGGGAAGGGATGTGCAAGGAGGGCAGGGTGGTGCTGCAGGCAGATAGGTGGAAGGTGCTGCAGGCAAGGCAAGCCAGGGTCCAGGCTGTGGGTGAGCAGGGCAGCAGGGTGTCTCCGGGGAGCTGGATGGGAAGAGGTAGGCGCTGTCCAAGGAGGAAGACGGATAGGCCACTATAAACAGGGAGGTACAGCAGGGATGTTGGCCAGTGGCAAGGAGACCTCCCTGACCATGGGTCCCTGTTGGAGAAACATCCCTGGCCTAAGACCCTGCTTCTGAGTTAGGGCTGCTGGATTGGGGTAGGGGGAGGCTGGAGCCTGAGCTCCATGTGGCAAGCTTGGGGCCATCTGCTTACTGCCGAAGGTCCCCTGGGTCAGTAACACAGCCCCACGTCCTGGCTGCTCCACACACGTGGCTGCAGGAGGGAGAACTTGCTGTACCCCAGCACTGATGGGCTCTGACTGACGTGACCTGACCTGGGTCTTCAGCAAAATGAACCTGGGCAGGACCTGTTTTCCAAGTAAAGGGTTGGTCCCAGCCTTGAAACGGAACACCCGGCCCTGATTACGTCACAGCATAATCCTGAAGAACCAAGGTGTGCAGAGGATGCACACCAGGCAGCAATAGTTGGGTGGCCAGAGCAGTGGCCCCTTGGCACAGCTACTTACATAAGTGATCCCCGAAAGCCTCTTGGCCAGGTGATAGAAGACTCCGTGGATGTAAAACCAAGCGACATGGAGCCGGTGGAGGCAAGTGAGGCCCTGTCTGAGGACAAAGGTCACCCGCTGCAGCGTCTTCCTCTGCTGCTCGGTCAAGGTGGCTGCGTGGTGTCGCACCCAGCGCCGTGCCCCTGATTGGCTACGCCTGCTGGGTGCCAGGCTGCTCTGTGAGGCCCGGGCTCCGTCGCCATCAGCCTGCAGCTCCTGCTCCAGCGGCAACAGGGCCTTGTCCAGTAGGTAGGGCAGGACTGCATGGAGTGCGACCAGCACGCTTCGGCGGAGCCTGGAGGGCACGCGCTGCCGGGAGGGGTCCACCTGGACGATGCCCACGTACTCCTCCCCGAGCGTCTGGTAGCCTGGAGGACAAGGACGGGTGTGCAGGGGTGAGGGCCTGCCTTGGGGGCAGACTTCCAGGCCCAGCCTGCCTCCCTCAGCTTCTGTACCAAGTGCTAGTCCCATCTGCCGCCATGGACTTGCTAAGTCCACCCTGGGCTTGCTGTGAGCTCAGGTGAGGGTCACAGAGACCTGGAGCTGCCCTCAGTTCCCAACATCCGACCTGTGTTCCCCACGCCATTCCCTGCTCCTCTTGGGTCTGTGCTGCTTTCCCCCTTTCTCTTTTCCTGTCCCCCTTTACTCCTTCAACCTATCCCTTGCCCAAGCCATTGGTCAGTCTCACAGTTCCCCACTTCCCACATGCACTGGTGCAGCCACAATTTATGGCCTAGTCCAGCTGCTTGCTCTGTCTGAAAAATGCTCCCCCATGCCCTAGACCTGGCCTTTGTCCCTAAAGTGCTCATCCCTTCCCAGGATTCAGCACAACAGTCATCTGGTGCTCATCCTCTGCCTCCATCCCACAGTGGGATGACCGCTCCAGAGACCCCTTCCATAGGCCTGGCTGAACTCAGCAGGTGTCCACTGACCCTTGCTGGGTGCTGGGCTGGAATTGCAATCCTGAGGGCTTCCCTGTTAGCTCTTCCCTAAGGGACAACCATGGACCTTGGCCCCTCACTGTCCTAGCAGGGCCTCACTGCTAGCACCCCTGGAACAGGTAAGCACTGTGACACACCTGTGGCACCAAGGCCAGCTCCTGAGAAATGGGTTTTAAAGGTACCCTGAACACAAAAGCGCCTAGGTTTCCAGGCACACAGAAAAGGATGAAGTGAGGGGCCATAGGCAGGGAGATGCTGTAGGCAGTGCCTCCGGCTCAGACCCCTCCCTTTCCGGAGGCAACATGAGCCAGCTGCAGGAGCTCCTCACTCTGCCTGGCAAGCCCCACACTGTCCTCTGACCGGGCTGGGTTGTGGGTCCCTCAAGGGTCTACCTGCCAGTGTGGTGAGGCCAAAGTAGGCTATATCTGAGAGCAGCTCAATCTCCTTCCTCCACTCCAGCCATTTCTTTGCACCTGAGAGGAGAAAGATGTTACTCCTAAGAAGGGGTGGGGCCATCTACACTCTGGACAACCATCTTCCCACAAGTCTAAGGCCCCTGTCCGCGAGAGGCAGACAGCTGTCAACCACTTGTGTCTGCCCCCAGCCTCCCTTGTAGTCCACTCAGCAAGAGAGTGGAGACAAGACCACCCTGTCTTGTCTTCCATTCCACCTTCCTGGGCCACGGGCCGCCTCTGGAGAACTCCCCACTCTGGGGTCCTCCCTGGCAACTGTTGTGGAGCCCACAGGCCACGACAGAGGTAGGGCTGGAGACCACCTGTCTAGCATCAAAGCTGGGCTCTACAATTCCCTGGCTGTAGTCTCTCTCTGGAATCTCCACTTGCGTACGTGTAAGAAAAGTGATTACAACACGTCCCACTGTAGAGCCTTTCAGGGATTACACGAATATATGCTGGAAAAGCCCCGAGAACAGTGCCTGGCAGCGAGTAGGTGCCAGGTGTTTGCGAAAGACAGCATGTAAAGCCATCTGCTCTGGTCTTCTAACTGCCGCCAGCCGAACTCTCCGGCCTCCAGATTCCCAAGCCGGTCACAGGGCCACGCCGTGGAGGCACCGGCGTCTAGCTCCAGTCCGGGGGAGGCGGACGGGGTCAGCCCGCGGAGTCGCAGCTGTGGACGCACCGCCCACTCCCGGGGCGCCCACCTGCCAGGCTGTGCAGGGCACCGCCCGCTGCGCTTCGCAGTCCACCGCGGTAGTACTCGTCCTTCTGCGCCGCGCGGATCACCTCCGGGGTGCTAGCCGCTCGTGCCATGACAGTACCGTCGGAATCAGGAACGCACCAGTGCGGCTGCGCAGGGAGGACACACGACGTAGCTCGGCGAGCGGCGCAGGCCTTGTGCGTCATGCGGAAGGGGCGGGGCCTGGGAGAACCGTGACTGGGAGAGGCGGTGCGCTGTGGGACCAGGTCAGGCAGGAGGCGGGGCGGAGGCGGGCCCAGGCTCGGAGGCGGAGCGAAGCCCGTGGTAGGACCTAGCGAGGCCGGGGCGGGGTCACGTCTGGTGGGCGGGGACTGGGAGGGTCCAGGCCAGAGGCAGGAGGGGAGGGGCCGAAGGCGCTCTGAGGACCCGAGGGGCGGCTTAGGGCGACGGTGACGCGATGGCCGCTGACGCTCGCGAATCCCGGCACCTGAAGCAGCTCTGCTCACAGGACGAAATGACGCGGAGGGGACAGGGAGGGTGAAGGGAGAGCAGGGTGGGAGTGGGCGGGGTGGGCCTCGCTGGAGGGCGGGCCCTCCTTGGTGGGCGGGGCCTCGCCGGTGGCGGGCCGCACCGCGGAGCCCCGAGAGCTGCCCTGGGCGGCCGCAGCAGCGGGGTGGGCGGCTGTCGCCGGGCGCAGGGCAGGACCGGCTGCGGTGCCAGCCTCGGTGTCATCTCGGGGCTCAGCCGCCGGCCGGAGTGGCGCCGCGGGGCAGGTCCCTCGGAGGGCGGGCTGCCCCCCGTGTCCGGTCTTGGGCTCCTGCAGCAGCTCCTGTGCCGAGACCGCGTGGCGTGGGCCGGGGAGCCTGGGTTCCGCCGATTGCGCGACGAGCCTGGTCCCGGTCCCATCTGCCACGCCAGCCTCCGAAGAGCCAGACCGGAACCCAGAATCCACTCGTCGCCTTCCCCTGGGTTGGGGCACGGGGCTTGGACCGCGGCCCGCCTGGAGCGGCGCCCCAAGCCGGGCTGGCCTGCGCGGACTGGAGCGCCCTTCGGAGGGCGGAGCCCAGCGGCCGGCAGGGGGCGCCATCGGCCAGTGTGTGCCGCACAGGCGGCTGCGGAACTCGCCCTGGGCGAGCCCGACGGGGCGCACACTGGCCAGCCTCAGGGCCGCTGGGAGGCCCCCACTACCCCGGCGCGTCCCTGTCCGAGGTTCTGGCGTCGGGCGGCGACGAGGGCTCTTGCTGGAGGAGGCACCTGTCTCTTGCCGCCCCGCGCCTCCCCATCCGGAGTCGCTGGCGAGGCCCTGGCGGAACACGTGGCTCCCAGGAGAGCAGCCACAGCCCGGGGAGAGGCGGCCGATGCGCCAGCCCTGGCCTTGGGCTCTGACCTCTGCCTCTGCCCCAGCACCACCAGTTATCTCCTCCTAGCGAGCTGGTCTGTCGTAATCAGCTGTTTCTCAAGAGCCTCCTGTGCGAGGGCTCAGCACAGGGGTGCTGGGGTTGCATGGAGGTGCAGGCGGGGCTGGTGGGTCCGGGATGGGCCTTCTGCCCTCAGCAGCACAGATCGCCCCTCCGAGGAGCAGCCCTGCAGCTCTCCCCCAGCCAGGGAGCAGGGAGCAGGGAGCAGGGAGCGGGCTCTGTCTTGAAGTCGCCTTGTCTGGGTTCCCTGCTAGGTCAGTGCCAGCACCACCAGCAGACTAGGGCTTGAGACTAGAGCTGGACGCAGGCTTGGCCGGAGCAGGCACACAGAGCTGCCCAGCACAGGGCATTTGGGAGGCAGGTGGGCAGGCAGGAAGGTGGGAAGGAAGAAGGCAGGGAGGGAGGGGGAAACGGGCAGGAAGATCCTGCTGAGTGGGTTTTCCCAGCCCTCTGCCCAGGTGGTGGCCCTGTGGGGTGCACACCTGCCCTGGGATGGGGGTGCACCCAGGTGATGCCCTGAGCCCCTCCTGACTGTTCTCTCAGAGTAGCGGGACTCCCCTTGCTCTCTGCAGGCCTGCGAGGGTGGCTGGGTGCTGAGGAAAGCAGGGTGGTGGGTGTGGGTCCCGAGGGGCAGGCGGGGCTCTGGTGCCCGTGTGGGGAGCCCCCACCCCGGGGTGGCATCTCTGGCTGAGGGACTGAGGAGGAGCTCCTGCCCACTGAGGTGCCAGAGGGAGCCTGGGGACAGGATCAGGCCGTTGGGGTGCGGCAGACTGGGAGGAGGCTCCTCCACCAGCTGCCCAACCTGGAGAACAGGTTCCTCCACCGGCGTAGTGACAGTGGCGGAGGCCGGAGCGGTGCCCTGGCTGCTGCGGACAGAGCCAGAGGCCCCGTGAGGTGGGTGCTGGGTGGGTGGGGGGCAGCGCCGGGCTGGCTGGCAGCAGCTTAGCAGTGGCTCTGCAAGGGACTTCGTGGGGGGTCCGGTCCAGAGCCGGGTGCAGAGTCTCGGGTACCCTGCAAACGAGGGCAGGCAGGTGAGCGGTTCTGGGGCAGAGGCAGGTGCCCTTGGCCAGGGCTGGGCTGACCCTGTGGTGGTGGGGGCAGGAGGACACGATTCCTGCATGTGACAGAGCAGGGGCCCATGATCCGCACCTGAGTGGGGGTCAAGAAGGGGGCGGGTGCTGCTGATAGCTTCCACGGCTGGGCTGGGTCGGAGGGAGCACAGGGGCCCCAAGTCTGCCCACCTGTACCTGTGCTGTCTTTTTATTGCTACCAGGGTGTGACCTTGTTGAATGAAGGGGGGGGTGCGGCCACTGTCCTGAGTTGAGCTGGCTGACAACGGATGGAAGGCTGGGCACAGGGGCCCTGAGAGGGGAGATGGGGAGACTTCCTGGAGGAGGGGGAGGAGGGGGCATTGCTCTGGGGGGAGGCTGAGGGCTCTGTCCAGGAGAGGTGTGCAGCTTCCCAGCCTCCTATGGGTGGGTACCCGGTGGGCCGTAGGTGAGGCCAGAGAGGCCTGGCTGGGCGCAGCATCGTCTGGACGAGGACTCGGGACAGCACAGACCAGTGGGGCTTTGTGGCTGGGCTTCTCAGGTGCCTGCTGGGGCCCTCGAAGCGCTCACTGCCCTTGATGCCCTGTGTCTTGCCCTTGCAGGGGCCGGGCAGCTGGGTGCAGAACCTTCGCCTCTGCTGTCTGCAGGTGTGGTGTGGGCAGGGCCTTGGCTTCCAGCTGGCAGGTGGAGTGTCAGGGTCTCAGGTCTGGGGACTTGGGGCCTGGAGAGCCTGCACCCCCCACCCAGCGAGGCCATAGCTCCAGGTTCCTGGGAGGAAGTGGCTGAGCAGTGTACAGGGCGGGCTTACTTCTGGCGGCATGGGGGCGTCCAAGCCATTGAGGAGCCGAGCCCCTGCCCAGTCCAGAGCTGAGCGCCCGCAGGCACTAGGGACGTGCCTGCAGTTGGAATGGCATGAGAAGTGGTGAGGTGGAGTGTACCGCTTCTAACCACTCCTGGCCGCCTCTGGGCTCCTGTGGAGCAGGCAGGGTTGGCTTCAGGTAGGTGGCAGCGGCTGGGTGTGGTGGCTCACATCTGCAATCCCAGCACTGGGAGGCTGAGGCAGGAGTCACAAATTCTAGCCCAGCCTGCCTGGGCCAATTAGTAATTTAAGAAGCCCTTGTCTCAAAAAAACAAAAACGGGTCTGGGGATGCAGCTTAGTGTGAAGGCTCTTGGTTCACTGCTCAGCAACACGAGGCAAACAAAATAATCAGGGAAGCAATACCATCAGAAACTGGCTGAGCCTCGGGGTGGCACCAGTGCCCAGGTCTCTGCCCACTGCGTGCAGGGAGAAGAGGGCTCATGGATCAGCACTGCTTCCTGCAGCCCTCTTTCCTGAAATAGAACTAGACAGTGCCCTGCAACTCACTCCTCTGCCTTGGAACCTTCAATGGCTCCCCAGTGCCCATAGGGTGAAGCTCCAGCCTGAACTGGCATTCAGTGCTTCCATGCCAATAAGGGCACCCTGAGGAGCCGTTCCAGAGGCAGCATCCCAGTCAGGCAGAGGCTGCCCCAATTCTTAGGAGGCCCTGCCCCTGCCCTGTGGGGCAGGTCTTCCCAGCACATCCAGGAGGGCTTTCTGCAGTCCTGGCAGGTGACGACGAGAGGAGGCCCCGGGTCTGTGGCATTTTCTCCCAGCCTGAGCGGCAGCACCCGCAGATCCTCCTGGCTGCCGTCTGGGAATCTGCAGGCCCAACTCTGGGCCCTGAAGTCTGGGTGTGGCATGGGAGGCCTGGGAGGCCCGGGGAAGGAGCAGCTTGGAGGTGAGCAGGACCTTCAGGTGGCGTCTCCTCTTACAGTTCTGTGCCAGCGGTGCCTCAGCGCCCTGATGTCCCTGCGTCCTGTGGAGGTGCCACGCCTCCCCAGAGCCTGGGACCCCAGCCCTGCCCTGGAGGGCAGCTGGAGGTGGCATGTAGCCGACACCAGGCCCTGGGCTCTTTGGTTAGGGGCCAGTAAGTTGTCATCGTCCCAGGGACCCTGGATTCTGGGGGCCGTGGGAAGGGCCAGGGGCAGCTGTTCAGAGCCCCAGGCCAGATGCTGGTCGGGGAGGGGCTGGGGCTGTCGTGGTCTGGAAGCCTGGGGAGCTGGGCGGTGGCACCAGGCGGAGTGCGGCGCTCAGCCTTGCACTCAGGGCCTTCACTCCTGGGAAGGAGGCCCAGGCTGCTCAGGGCCTCATCTGTGCCCAGGGCAGTGTGGGCCCCATTCCTGGCGGCTGCTCCTTGGCTCACAGCCTCGGCTTGTGCACCCCTCCTCCTGCCTGGGGTCGCTCTGCTCTGCCCGGCCCAGCCTGCATCATCTGGCTTGGAACAGCCCTGCCCTGCACCGTTCCGAAGCTGCGCTGGCAGTGCGCCCCGCAGCCTGTACTCCATCCCTCCTGCTCGGGGACCCTCACCTCAGAGCCGGTGCCACCTCTCTACAAGCTTGGTGCTACCACAGGGAGGCCCACTGGCACCTCTGGGGCTCTAGTCATCCTCTAAGAGCTCAGCAAGTGCAGGGTCAAAAACACAGCACATGGCCACACCTGCGCCTCTCCTCAGCCAACCCTGCCTCCTGCCAGGCTGGGCTACCTCAGAGCTGCAGGGAGCTGCCATCATGGGGCTTTCTCTGCTGCTGTGATTCTTACCAGGATCAACAGTGTTGAAGGGTTTGGTTGCAGGGTCCCTTTGCCCTCCTTTTTTGGGGCAGGAGACGGGGTCTTGCTGTGTAGCCCACCCTGGCCTCGAACTCACAGCGATCGTCCTGCCTCAGCCTCCTGTGTTGGGATTAGAGGACTGCACCAACGCCCCCCGCCCCCAGCTTCCTTTGCCTTCTCTGTTGCCAACGAGCCCAGAGACCTTTTGTTTCGTACAGAAGCCTCAGGTTGGGCCGGGCCGCCTGGACCAGCTCTGACTCCAGTCATTTTGTGAGCTGGTTGTTGAACACAGCCATTATTCAAGTCAAATTAAACTAATTATGTATGTAAAACATAAATTACATTAAAAACCAAAGGTGGTAAACACTCAAAACATATCGCTCTCTAATTATTGACATCCTGCTGTTACATCTGCCCTTATCTAGGTGTGATTTTATCTGTCTGAGTAGTGGGAATACACACTCTACGAGTGATGGAGAACTTTTCAGAGACGAGCACCCAAGCTACAACCCTAAACTGGCGTGTTTATCGCAAAGGGCCAGGAGTGCGATTCCACCTGCATACTGAGGTTTTAGTTTAGAAAAACACAGCTTGTACATCAACATCACTTGTCTTAAAAACAGCCATGTGCCATGGGCTCGCCACCACTGTGCTATACAGTACTGCTGGCCTGTTCAAAACGCGGGAGTCAGTGGGCCCCACTGGTGCCTGGGAGTCGCTCCTGTGCAGATGGGTAAATGCCAGCCCGGCCCCAGAGAGTGGTGGGTAAGCCTGGAGCAGCTGCCCCCATGGGTTGCTGGATGCTTCCCTGTTAGAAATCAAAGTGACACTTGAAGAGCATGTATTTATGAGGCCTTGTGAAAAATAAATTGCACATTAATATGCATAGCATTTATATGAGCATTTTATAAAAAACTACTTGCTCAAAAGAAAAATTCAGGGAGAAAAGCGCCATGCTTTACATCTCTGCAAATCCCCCAGGTGTCTGGCGTGGGCCCGACAGCTGGATTCTCCCAGGGCCCCGTGGCCCACCTGTCACCTGTGTTTTGAAACCTGGCCTTTGGACAGATATGTGACCTCCCTGTGTGGCTGTGGCTGTGTCTTTGAGGTGGCCGCAGGCTGGACCCGAACCGTGCAGCGGTCTTGGTGGCCTCGGTGGTCTCTCGCTAGGCGCGATCTTCCCCACAGTGGACTGGAGTGTGTGTCTGGAAGCCCCGGCTCCTGGCATACGCAGATTTCCCCAACACAGACCCATTTCAGCCTTTGATGTCCAGAAATCACGTTAGCATCTCCGCCACTGAGCTCCAGCAAAGCCTTCAGTGTCCCAGAGCTGGCAGGCTCTCAGCGGTGGGTATGGGTTTTACAAAGGGCTAATTTTCACTCTGAGCGGGAGTCTCATGATTGGTGATAGATCTTGTGGCTTCCCTGTTTAGCAGGCTTACTGCATTTTTTCTTTTCTTCTTTTTTTTTTTGAGATGGGAGCTTGCTGTGTTACCTAGGCTGACCTTGAACTCCTGGGCCAAAGTGATCCTCTTGCCTCAGTTTCCCAGTAGCTGGGACCACGGGCACATGCCACCGTGCTTAGCTCTCATTTTTGAGATGTCTGTCAGAGTTTGAGTTGGCACAACTGTGGTGCACCTGCCAGCTGCCTTCCAGCAACAGGCTGCCCCGAGCTGCAGGCTGTGTTCCTTGGGGACCTGTCTCCTGCACAGGATGGTTGGGGGTGTGAGTCAAGGCGAAGTCCAGCACCGTGGTGCGTGTGCCGCTGCGTCGGAGGACGACCTCCCTCACAGCTCTGGGCGGTGGTCACAGCACTAGCCCTCTTTGGGGCCAGGTGGAGGCCCACGGTGTCACCCCCCCGCCCCCGCGAATGTCAACTCGGGGCAAAGATAACATTTTTGTTGGGAAAGTGGTGTAGATCTTGTAGACGCCCAAAGGTCCTGGGGCCCAGGGTTCCATGGGCCCCACTTTAGGAAGCAGTGCACTGTGGCTCAGTACCTGCCAGGTGCCATGTTCTGATTTTCGCTGACTCTGCTGGGCCCTGGCTTCCAAGACCTGTCCCCTTCCACACAGCCCCTCGCTTCTTGCTCCTGACCCCTGTGCCCCACATGGTGTCCCTACCAGGTGTGCCCAGCACCTCGCTCAGGGCAGCAGGGCGAGCGCCACTCAGACCCCCAAGCTGGGTCTCTGAGCACAGGGTACCAAATTTTCTGCTGCCCCATGTGGCAGCCGGGCAATGGCCAAACTTCCCCAGCCTGTGGGCGCTCTGGGCCCAGCCCCAGCTCCACGTTCCCTGCAGCCCCCAAGCCCTAATGGGCAGCGGGCCCAGGCTGGGAGGGCAGGGGCTCTGGAGAGGGTGCTGCGCCTGCCAGCCAAGGACCTGCTGTTCCCAGCATCACAGGCCTGTGCCTTGAGGCCACTCCCAGCCCAGACACCACAGCCAGGCAGGCGGCGGACGGGAGTTAGTGGCCCCGTGCTAGTGTGACCTTGAGGAGCCCTTGGGGATGCTGAAGAGCTGGGGGGCAGGAGAGAAGGGCAGGTGGTGGTCATCTTGCTGAGAGGAGGGTGAGCACTCAAGGCTCAGGCGGCAGGCCTAGGGGAGCCGGGATCTAGAGTGATGGGGGCGGGGGCCTTGCTCTTTCTAGGCCTCGGCTTCTCCCTTCAGAGAGGGATTTGTCTGTGGTCCTGCGTCCCCCGGGGGCCTGGGGCCAGCAGGAAGAGGACGCCCCGTCTGATGCCCCTGAGCCAGGATGCCAGGCGAGGGCGTGGCCTCTCGCCTCCTGGCACTGACGCAGAAGGTGGGAGGCGGCGGGGGAGGATGCAGGGCAGGCAGGCCGGGGCTTGCGGGGGGCCTCGCTGGCACTGCCGGGGAGGGGGCCACATGGGCCCCGGAAGCGGAAGCTCTTGCAAGCTGGCCGGGGTGGGGAGCTGGCTCAGGACTTGCAGCCAAGCAGGTACTCGGTCCTTGGCCTGGGGGGGCCATGAGGGTGGCTGGAGCCGGGGACTGCTTCCTGGGAGCCCCTTGTTCTCAGGATCTTGGGGGCACAGGGCCAGTCTCTTCCTGGGGGAAACTCTGCTGGTTGGGGTGTGGACGTCACCCCCCTGGGCCCCCTCCCCGCGCTTAGGGTCAGGGCTGATTAAGCAGTGACAGGGGCAGTGGGACCTCTCCACTCCGGGTCCAGCCTGGCCCTGCATGAGGCCACCAGTGAGTGGTCACCCATGACAGAGCCAGTTCCTAAGGGTTGGAGCAGGGCCAGAGGCCTGAGACTGGAGGCTTCTCCACCTTGGCCTGGGCTCCTGGGGGTCAGTCTGAACCCCACGGTGAGCCCGAGAGGGACAGGCCCAGCAAGATCATTCTGGCCCCTCCACCCACAGCCCCCGACCACTGGCACCCACCCTGCCACAGGACCTGCCGTAGCTGGTGTGAGGACACCATAGAGGGCCAGCTTCTGGGGCACGGGCTGGCGGGGGGCTCCTGGGTGCCAGGTGCGGCAGGGCCTGTGCCAGGGGCTGACCTCATGGTCCTTGGTGGCCACGCCTTGGCTTGTGGCAGCCGGCGTGCGCAGGACTGCTTCCTAATTAGGCTCCACAGTGCCAGCCCAGCCAGAGCCCCACGCCTGGCCATGTTCCGGCAGGCGTGTTGAGGCACAGCCGCACCGGCCGAGCAGGAAGCTGACTTGCAGGCACCTGGTGGTGCCGACCGGGCTGCTGTTGGGCTTGCGCTGGCGGCCGGGGAGCTGTGGCATTTGGTGCCTCGGGAGACCCTGGGACGGAGATCCCACAGCTGCGGTGAGCCTGGGGCCAGGCTGGCAGTGAGAGCCCCGGGGAGAAGAGGGGCCCTCAGCAGAGGCCGAGCCTGGGGCTGCTGGAAGCCCACTCCCCACAGCCTCTGAGGCTGGGACCCTGGAGCCCAGCCTGGTCGCCCCCAGCTGGGGAGGGATCCTTGGCTCAAGGGGGCTGAGGGGAGAGTGGCTGCCTTCCTCATGGGGGAGAGCAAGGCTATGGGGTCTGGAGGGTCCAGGTGTCTCCATGGAGATGCCTGTCCCAGGCAGCTCAGAGGGCTCTGGGTGCAGTGACCAAAGCCCAGGTCCTGAGCAGTTTCCTGGTCCCAGGGAGGGAAAGGGAAGGCATTGAGGAAGAGGCGCCAGGAGACTCTCGAAGGAGCTGGTCTGGGACCCGAGTGGTCGGATGCTGGGCAGGGAGGGGCTGGGCTGGAAGCTTCCAAGCAGGGGCCTGGCAGAGCTGGGGCATGGGGCCCTGGAGCAGGGCTGGCTGCTGGTCTAAATGGGCAGCTTGGGGGTGGTAAATGGGGGGCTTTGATCCCTGCCACACAGCTTCCAGGGAGATGGTTGCCTGGGAGGCTACAGGACTTCCATCCACAGCAGGATTTAGAGGCGGCTGAGACCCTGGACCTGTGGCCACCCTGCCATGAGACCACATCCGGAGGGGCCACGGGGAGCCCTAGGGTGCCGAGGACTGGTGGGCAGTGCCGTGCAGCCAGTGGGGCTGCAGGTTCTGGGCGTCCTGGTGCCCTGCCCTGCGGGGTCTGCTCTGTGAAGCTGGCCAGCTCCCGGTTTGCCTCCCATCTGACAAACTCTGAAGACAGCCCCTGGCACGGAGTGGGTACGCGGGCCTGGAGGCCTCTGACTGCGCCTGCTCTGCACCAAGCGCAAGAATGTCGCAGGCCTCGCCTGCCTATACCCTTGGCCCCAAGGCTTCCCTGCCTGGCGGCAGCCCTCTAACAATCTGTTCTTGTGGGCTGGGTAGAGCTGGGCTGCAGCCAAATGTCCTCCAGCGGGGGTCCCTGTGGTGTCCACTGCTGCCCAGGGCCGCTTACCTGGGCCCTACAGACCTCGCTGACTCTGCTTCTCTTGCTTGCCAGGCGTGCGATGGGCGACAGACCCAGCGGCCACCCCAGCGGCAGGGGACACTGGGGGAGCACAACCACGTCCGGGAAGCCTCCTGCCACCTGCTGACCCTGGCCACCCCACCACCAGCTGGGCCACCACACCCCTTCCTCCAGCATGGCTCCCCCGCCGACCGGGACCCTCATCCCTGCCTCTCTGCCTGAGGACCCGGGGCCTGCTCCTGACAGCAGATGGTTTTTCCTGCGCACCAACGTTCTGCCTGTGGGTAAGTGAGGCTGCGCTGGGCTGGGGACAGAGGTTTTCATGCCGAGGGACCTTCCTGAGAGCCCCGGGGAGCATGGGCTTCCTGCTAGGGCCCCTCGGCTGCCGCCCCCAGTCAGGGAGCTGGAGCACGGCACAGGGCAGCCAGCACGCGTCTGCCTCTCTGTGCAGGCAGAGTCTGGCAGGCTAGACACAGAGCGAGTTGGGCAGTGCAGCTGAGAGAGGGGCTGGGTTGATCCCTGGGGGACAACTCTGTGCCCCCTAACTGGACCAGGTGCCCAGGCACAGTCAGAAGGCCCGGGTCCTGATCTGAGAGGCTTTGGGTCAGGTGCGGAGACTGGCGCGTGGCGGCCAGCACTCCTGGGCTCTATTCTGCCGGCTGCTCTGTTGCGGGCAGGCCTGCCTCCGCTCGCCCGCCTGCCGTGCGTGTTCCTGTTCACACTGTGCGCCCGGCCCTGCAGCCGGCCGCGGCTTGTTCACCCCATACCTCCGGATGCGCCCGGGCAGGTCCCCGCCAGCCATGGGTGGGGACGCGTCGCTCACGCACACCGCCTTGCCGCCCGGTGTTCATCTCAGTGCTGCCTGGCAGACCCCAGGGAACAGATTCCCTGTGGGTAGAGAGAGCAGAGCCCGAGGGTCTCAGCCTGGTGTGCGGATGCTGAGTCAGGCAGGTCTCAGCCAGGGGGTTACACTGAGGGCAGGGGTCCGGGCTCCTGGTCTGCCCCAAGATCTTCTGGAAGAGTCCCCAGGCAGCCCTACTGAGCCCTGGGAAGTTCCTGCCAGAGGGCAGGGCAGGCAACTGTGGCATCTCCCTGGCCAAGTGTGCGATTCTGGTCAAGGTGGGGGTGGGTCTTGCTTTGTGGGGCTGGCCCCTGCCCTGGCTGTGCAGCCCAGCCCTCCCACCTGTATGTGCAGAGGTCAGCAGGTTGCCCACGTGGAGTGCGCCAGGGGTCGCTCTGGGGGTGGCCCTGGCCCACTGAGTTCAGGGTCGTGTGCAGGCAGCTTGCACAGAACCCAGCTGCAGGTACGGCCTGCTCTGTGCCGCCTACTCTTGGACCCCAGGCCTCTGCATCTTGCAAGGAGCCAGGTCCAGTCTCCAGATGGGCAGCCAGGCTGCCAGGGGCCGGACCTGAGCGGGTTTCCATCCACAGCCTCGCTGCTTTGTCCCAGCAGTGAGCGCAGGCGGGGACCAGGGACAGCTGCCCCGGGGAGCGGATGGGGGCTTGCTGGCAGGGCAGGGGCTGGACAGTGGTGGAGGCCTCTGCACGTCCAGCGGGGCCCTTTATGGCTGCAGACCCTGTGCAGTGCGTCTGCCCCAGTTCTGCGTATCCGTGGTAACGGGTTTCAGGGAGAGCAGCCCAGTTTGATTCCTGAGATGCAGGGCGGGGCACACAGGAGCTGCTGGTGCCTGGCATGTGGAGGCTGCTACATTGTTGGGATGTGGCCCTGGCCCCCAAACTCAGGGCCTTGGGGCACGGGGTCTCCCATGCAGGGTGCTGAGGCCTCACTGTCATAGGCCTGTCCCTTTCCGCCCCTGACTGAGAATTCACAAGGCTCTGTGAGAAGCTGGTCTCCATGCCCCCCACCCTGGTGCCCATGGGGTCATGGATGGCAAAGGTGAAAGATCGGGCTGGACAGACACCAGGGTGCTCCCTGCAGGGAGGGTGGTCCCTGGCTCGCAGGTTTGGGAGCTATCTCTGCAGCTGTCTGGCCACCCCAGAGACACATGCCTGTGGGCCACGGTGGTGGAGGGGCTGAGGCGGCTGCACCCTTCCCTTCTTAGGGCTCCACGCAGCCGCTCCTCCCAGCGCAGGGACGGCATGGAGGTTGGCAGGGACTGTGTGTGGCTGCCCCTCCCTGAGCTGGGCTGCACTGGTCTCTGGAGAGCTGGCAGCCGTGCAGACTCACAGTGGACAGGGCTACTGAACCCACAATATGGAGGGCCCCTCCCTCCACGCTGCCTGTCCCTCCTGGCCCAGCCCCAGCTGCTCGTGACTCAGGTGTGGACAAGGCTGCACAGCCCTGGGGACGGATGCTGCTGCTGACCCAGTTGCACAGAGCCGGCTTTCTGCCTTGTTGCTGGAGAGGGGACCTGGCTGGCCCGGGGAGGCCCAGCATGCCGAGTGGTGCTGTCCTGTAGGCCCGTGTGTGCCAAGCATTCTGGCTGGTGCCCCTCTGTCTCCAGGGGCACCAGGCTCTGGGTGTCAGGGCCGTGGGCCAGCTGGATGGTGAATCAGGTTGTGAGAGCCTGTGGCTTGGCCTGAGCTATGAGGCTGGGGTGGGGGACAAGTGTCCAGAGGGAGGACACGTTCCTGGGTTCTCACCTCAGGGCATGCTGAGAACAGCTCCCCCAAGGACCCCACACTGCCACACAATGTCTGCTCTTGCGTGACTTTTCCTCCTGGTGAAAGCGGGCCAGGCACGAGGAGCAGCAGGAAGATACAGGACGTAGACAAAGATCCAGAGGTGCCTGCGGGTTCAGCTTGAGTGCTCGCCTGACTCAGGTCTTTCCCCGAGCTCCTCTGACTCGAGTTTATCCTGGAGCCTGATTTTAATGACCACCTGCTGCACCCTGTGTGCAGCGCCCAGGCGCCCTGATGCTCTGTCCCCGCTCAGAACGGTCTTACTCATGCACCCTGGTTCTGTGTGTGTGCACGGCCTAGGCCGTCTCGGTGGAGGCTGCACTTCTGCATGCAGCAGCATTTGATCTGCACTGGGCTCTCTGAAGCTCCTGCCCTCAGTCTCTCCCTGAGGAGTTGGAGGCGGCCCCAGCGATGTGTGCCATGGGCCTCAGCGGGAAGCCCCGCACCTTTCCACATCCAGCCCACGGGATACAGGTCCAAGGGCAGTTCTTGGGCGAGGAGGCCACATGGACTCTCCTCCAGGGCCGCCTGGGGAAGTGACCCAGTGGCAACTGCTTGGGGTCGTTGAGGCTTGGGGCAGATGGATGTGTGCCAGGCATTTGGGCTGTGGGCCGGGCCAGGGTTTCTGTGCTCTCCCCTGGGCAGGACAGGGTGGGAGCCACTGCTAGCCGAGGGGACCTTGGTGCACATGTCGCCCAGCCTTGACCCAAGGGGGGAGGCTGCATCTGGGTATCCTTGGGATCCTGGGGGTTGGTGAATAAGGCTGGGGAAGGGCTGGGGGCAAGGGGCCGTGGGAAGCTGGGGTCCACAGGCCACTGCTGCAGGGGCCCAGGCCAGGATGAGTGCAGCAGGAGATACCACCTGTGTGTGTGGGGCAGCTCGCCCGCTGCCTGGGACCTGCTCCCTGCCCATCTCTCTTCCTGCACCAGCAGCTGACCCTGGGAGACGAGAAGGGCAGCCAGGTGGGCAGATACAGCCCAGCTCCGGGCTGTTCCTGCCTCTGCTGAGCTCTGGGCAAGCGGTTGCAGTCAGCGGCCTCCTGGGGGCAACTTCTGCTGTCCAGCAAAGGGACAGGGCTGGCATTTTTCTTGGGGCTTCGTGTGGGTCCACAGAGGAGGATGTGGGCAGTGAGGCTGTCCTGTGAGGGTCCTGAGTGGTCAGCTGAGGGGAATTCTCCCGGATCTCCACCAGAGGCTCCAGGTGAGCTTGGAGCAGGGCGCATGCGTTGTGCCCAGGAGTCCAGGCCCTGAGTGGCCGGTTGGGGCCCTGTGTCCCTGGGGCCTGCTGCCTGACCCTGTGTGTGCTGTGCTGTGCTGGTAGTGTGTAAACTGGCTCCTGGGGCAGGCTCTTTGGGGTCTGCATTCTCTCCAGCCTCCCAAGTGGGTCAGGCACTGGCCAAGGGTCACCCTGCCTGGCATGGGGCCTTGGATTCCTGTTCTGGGGCCTCGGGCTCACCCCTACCTGCACAGTGCCAGGAGCACCCCTCTGCACCCTGCCCAGCCCCAACTCTGACCTGCTGTGGCCAGCTGACCACCCTGCCCACCTCTCAAACGTGTGTTCACTGAGAGCCCAGCCTCACTTGCACTCCAGCTTCCCTCTCTGGGCGGACTGCCTCCCCTGGGGGGTCCTCCAGGCCAGATCCTGGGGACAGCCTTCCACCCATGACATCCAGTACCCCTGGGCATCCCTGCAGGCCCAGGTTCCCACCTTACTGCAGCTCTGCTGCCGTCCTGGCTGAGCTGCCAGACTGGTTATACCAGGGGCCACTTCCACCTGTCCCCTTCCTGCTCCCACCCCACAACCACACACGTACACACGTACACATGCCACACACACCCCTTCCACAATGCATACACATGTGACCACATGTACACACATGCACACATATACCTATGTGTGCCCACATGACACACATAACACATGCACATACATGCACACATGTACACACATCCACCACCGTGGCCAGCACTCCTTACCAGGTGCTCAGACCCTTCAAGCTCTACCCAGCTCTCCTCTGCCCACCCTGGCAGTGCCTGCCCCTTGAAGGACCCTCCTGCTGTGGCCCCCCGAGCCCCTGGTATCTGCCCCACAGCTTTCGAAAATGGCGACTTGGCTGGGTGTGTGTTCCACGCTGGTCACTGGCCTGAGGCCTCCTCCAAGCAGGGTCACACTGAACTCCTGGCCACCCAGCCAGAGCCCTGGGGACGCTCGGAGCAGACTCGGCAGCAGTTGTCGGGAGGTGCGAGTGAGCGGATGAATGAGCTGGCAGCCGGCGTTAGCTGTGCGTGCAGGCGGCAGCTGGTTTATAGCAGAGATCCACGTGGGGGCCTGGGGCTTGGCTTGGCTTGGAGAGGATGGGGCAGGGCCCGCACCCTGTGGCCTTGGGCCCAGGGCAGGACTGCATGGTCTCTGCCAGGGCACCTCCTTCTGTGCCAGCTTCCTGGGGTGAGGTGAGCTCCGGGTGGCGGTGGGGGTTCTCTGGCCATCTGCCCCACCCAGGCTTGGCTGCGCCACCTGAGTGTCCCGGAAGGGCTCCCTGCCCTTTCCCTGCTCTGAGCCCAGGGTGGGCCTGGCCCACTTCCTCCCTGCTGACCCTGGCTGGGCATCAGCTGGATTGAGCACTGTCAGCCAGCATGGCAGA